TGCCAACAGGTGGCAGGATGGCTCAGCTAAAAAAAAAAAAAAAAAGTGTATACTTTTTGAGGGGGCACCCTCTGTATGTGAGAAAACAGTGAAGATAGGGAATATATAAAATGGAGTTACTTTAACCAAGCTGCTAAAATTATTAACATTATGAAGGCTGAGGCATGAAGAAACAATTCTAATCTTGTTTAAACTACCCTGGGAACTTAAACATTTTGAAATTTCCAGTCCTGCCTCAATGTCTAGCTATACATCTGGACATATACCATACCTCCAGATAACCCTCTGATTGCCCCTAGAAGGACTCACGTATATATCCACTGGACATCTAACTGACAACTCTCTTGGATGAATCCAAGGGCTAAGAATGCAGGGCTGATAATTCTCAATAATGTACTTTTTACTACAAGAACTCTTCACTTTTGTTTCTTCTCTGGAACACTTCTGTGTTTCTGCCTAGCTGTGTTCCCAGTTTGAAAACTCTAAAACCCTTAAATAAATCGTTATCATTTACTTCTAGCAAAGCCTCCAGGCTCTTTTTGAGCTCACTTTACATATGGCAGAATGTGATAAATATCAGACTTCTCGAAATCCTACACAGCTGGGAAGATGAGAGGGAGTTTTATGATCCCAGTGTCATTTCATTTTAAACCTTAAAAGCTGAGAGGGATTTTAATATGGAGGCCAAAGAAGAGGGCCCTTGTTCTCGGGAAAGAATAGAAAGGTAGAGGAACCCAGGATGGAGGGAGTCTGAATTCAGCTGGCAGCAAGAAGCCATGGGAAGATTTTGAGAATCATCCTGATCCAGTCTCACATTTCAAAAACACACATTTAAGATAGTCACCAAGTAAACCCAGAAGCAGACTTCTGTCAGTTTGGCAAATAGACCTCTAAAGTCTATTTTCTGAAACAGTCTGTTGTCAAGTAAATTACATTTTCAAATATCTCTAAGCTTCCATTTAATGTTCAGTCAAACTGGCATCTAAAGCATAACAATGAAATGTGGTAAAACAAAAAAAGAAAAGAAAAAACATAGGGCTTCTGGTCAAGATGGCGGAGTAGGTAAATGCTGTGCTTGCCTCCTCTCACAATCACATCAAAATTACAACTAAACTACAGAACAACCATCAGTGAAAATCACCTGAAGTCTAGCTGAACCAAAGTCCTAGAACTAAGAACATACAGAAGAAGCCACATTAAGACTGGTAGGAGAGGCAGAGACACAAATGGGCTGGTCTCACACCCACATGTGGCAGTTAAAAATCAGGAGGGATATCTCAGCTGTGGAGGTCCCCCCAGAGGAATGAGGGGTCCCAGCCCCTCACCAAACTCCAGCCCCGTGTTCTAGTGCCAGTAACTTGGGGCTGTGAAAACTAGTAGAGATTGTGGTTGAGTAAGACAGAGGGTAGCTGGAAACCCAGGTTCTCCTCTTAAAAGGGCTAGCGCATGCACTTCCTCACTGATGGACTCGCTCGCTCTGCTCTCCAGCACGGGGGCAGGAACACAAAAGGTGCCAGGGACATACAGGGAGAAACTGAATTGTCTGACCTCAGGGCTGGAGGAGCAGCTTTCTTCCAGACAGACGTGTAGGCACCAGCCATTGTTCTTTTGTTGAGTCTTCCCCCTCCCGGCAAGCAGATGCAGGTGGGCGCCAACTTGAGTCTCCATCAACCCAGCTAACATTCTTCACCCTACCCGGGTGATTCTAAGAGCCCGCCCCACCCAACTTGCAGGCCCACCCAAGCCGTTTCCAGTGGCTTTCCCATACAAATGGCCTGCCTTGGCTCATGCTGAGGACTTTCCTAAAATCTCTCAAAGGTTCACAAACCCCAAATAAGTTGCAACTGGCCTCAGTGTGCTCCATACCTCTGGCTAAGCAGCCCTAAGCTCAGCACTAGCAGCAGCTGGCCTTAGTTTGAAGCTTAGCCTCTCCCAGGTACCTCCAAACCCAGCACAAGTGTCAACCATCTGCAGATCATTTTGTAGCTCTTACCAAGTGGTCCCGGGCAGGGCACAGGCAGCAGCTGACTTTGGAACTGCAACACAGCCCCTCCCAAGAGGCCCCAGAACCAACATACCCAGGGGCCAGCTTCAGACTATGCCAGAGTACCACCCAACCACCTCAACAAAAGACACACCCAAAGGGCAGATTTGTTTGGCACCAGAGCCCTGCTAAAGCGAATCCTGCTCCATAGGGTCAGCCCCTACACAACTAGTAGCTCCTCTACTGTAGTCATGGCCAGTTCTTGAAACCAATCAGCCTGAAGGTCAATCCCTCCCACTGATATGCAAACAGCAACCAAGGCTCAACTACAACAGAAGAGCACACAGAACCCACACAAGGTGCACATCTGGAGCACCTGGCTCAGATGACCAGGAGACTGCACCACTGGGCCCCACAGGACACCTGTTACATAAGGCCACTCTACTAAGACCGAGAGGCATAGCAGCCCTACCTAGTACATAGAAACAAACATAGGGAGGCAGCCAAAATGGGGAGACTAAGAAACATGTCCCAGATGAAAGAACAGAACAAATCTCCAGAAAAAGAAGTAAACAAAACGGAGACAAGCAATCTATCAGACGCAGAGTTCAAAACACTGGTTATAAGGATACTCAGTGATCTCAGGGAAAACTTCAACAAAGAGACAGGAAACATAAACATGGAGATAGAAAACATAAAAAAGAACAAGTCAGAAATGAAGAATACAGTGACTGAAATAAAGAATACATTAGAGGGAATTAACAGTAGATTAGATAAAGCAGAGGACTGAATCAGTGATTTAGAAGATCAGGTAGCAGAAAACACTCAATCAGAACAGCCGCAAGAAAAAAAGAATCCAAAAAATTGAAGGAGAGTTTAAGGGCCCTCTGGGATAACCTCAAGCGTACCAACGTTCACATCACAGGAGTACAAACAAGGAGAGCAAACAAGGAATTGAAAACCTATTTGAAGAGGAGAGCAAACAAGGAATTGAAAACCTATTTGAAGAAATAATGATGGAAAACTCCCCTAACCTGGTAAAGGAAATAAACATAGCCCAGGACGTGCAGAGAGTCCCAAACAAGATAAACTCAAAGAGGCCAAGACATCATAATTAAAATGCCGAAGGTTAAAGACAAAGAGAGAATCTTAAAAGCAGCTAGTTACCTACATGAGAGCTCCCATAAGACTATGAGCTGATTTCTCAAGAGAAACTTTACAGGCCAGAAGGGATCGGCACAAAATATTCAAATGATAAAAAGCCAAGTGATGACCTACAACCTAAATTACTCTACCCAGCAAAGCTACCATTTAGAATTAAAGGACAGATAAAGACATAAGAAACTAAAAGAGCTCAATACCACCAAGCCAGTATTACAAGAAATGTTAACAGGGCTTCTTTAAGAAGAAGAAAAAAAAATTAAAAAATATGAATAATAAAATGGCAATAACTACATATCTGTCAACAATTACTTTAAATGTAAATGGATTAAATGCTCCAATCACAAGACATAGAGTAGCTGAATGGTTAAGAAAACAAGACGTTTACGTATGCTGCCTACAAGAGACTCGCTTCAGATCAAAAAGACACACAGACTGAAAGTAGAGGAAGGAAAAAACATATTTCATGAAAATGGAAACAGAAAAAAAATAAAACCAGCTGTGGTAGCAATACTTATACCAGATAAAACAAACTTTAAAACAAAGGCTATAACAAGAGACAAAGAAGGATCTAGTAATCCCACTTCTGGATATTTTTCCAAAGAAACCCAAAATACTATTTCAAAGGGACATGTGCATCCATAGCTTAACTGCAGCATTGTTTACAATAGTAAAGGTATAGAGGTGCCCATCAATTAACGAATGGATAAAGAAAAGGTGGCACATATATATGTATAATGGAATATTCCCCAACCATAAAAAAGAACAAAATCTTGCTATCTGCAACAACATGGATGGACCTAGAGGATATTGTGCTGAGTAGAATAAGTCAGACAAAGACAAACACTATATGATTTCACTTCGATGTGGAATCTAAAGAACAAAATAAACAAAACAAACAAACAAACCAGAAACAAACTCATAGATATAGAAAACATTTTGAGGGTTGGAAGAGGTGAGGGGCATTGGGGGAATGGGTGGAAAAGGGAAAGGGATTAAGAAGTACAAATTGGCAATTACAAAATAGTCATGGGGAGATAAAGTATAGCATTAGGAATATAGTCAATAACTTGTAATAACTGTGTATGGTGTCAGGTGGGTGCTAGATTTATCAGGGTCATCATTTCGTAAGTTATATAAATGTCTAATCACTGTGTTGCACACCTGAAATTAATATAATATTGTATGTCAACTATAATTTTTTTTTAAAAAGGCCAAAATGGAGTACCTTTTGCTAAGCCATGTCACCAATCCAAAACTCACTAACCTAACTGCAGTTTCAGCCTGTCCCAGGAGTGGCGTTTTAAACCAATCAGTCTGGAATTTCCAGATCAATACTAGTGAGGTAATCTGAAAGATAAACACTCCCCCCAGCCATTCCTTTCCCCCAACACATGACTGCCCTAAAAATAATCCTTTCCTTTCTTTTGCTAATAACTCCCCTTCTGCCTGTAAAAACTTTCCATTTTGTACAACAGCCCTCCTACCCTGGAGGGCCCTTCTAGTCCAAGAATAAGTTAATAAAGCCAATTAAATCTTCAAATCTACTCAGTTGAACTTCTTTTCTTTAACAAATGAAACATTCTTCAAGTGAAAAGGAACTGTATAAATGTACTGAACTAGCTCTAAGCTTGCTGGAAATTTAGGTGAACAGTAGGAAGACCTGTTTGCATACTGTGGGTGCAGATGGCCTGTGCTGGGCCCTTGGGTGCTGGGACCATCTGCTGGGCCCAGGCTTTGAGTGGGGCACTCTCAGAGGTGCTGAGAGCTCCCGAAGGAGGGCCTCAGTGAGAGTCCAGGTGGGGCAGGGGCAGGGGCCATCGTCCAGGTGGGCGGGCTGCCCCCACTAACTCACCAGTGACGTAGAAGGCCTTGTAATGCTCCAGGCGGACAGTCTGTAGGGCTCCGTACTCTCCAGCCGCCCCGCTGTTGGGGTGAAACAGCACCTGAGAAAGGGTGGCAGGACTTATTAATAAGAAAACAACGCTAGATGCTCCCTGGGAAGCATTACTTTGTCAGGGTTTCTCCTCTCTACCACCCCACTATCCTCATCTCCCTTCCCCACCACTGCCCCCCACGCTGACAGACACAGGTCTGTGGTCCACACTAGCCCACTCCTGGGAACCTCTGTGAATTGATGGAGTGGGTTACAACTCTGGTCAGACTCCTCAGCCTAGCACCAGGTACGTAATCTGGAGGGTCCGATGCAACACGACAATGAGAGAGGCCTTGCCCCCAAAATGAAGAATTTCAAGCCAGCCACAGCACACGCACTTTAAACCAAGCACAGGGTCCTTCTAAGTGTGGGGCCCTGAGTGACAGCACAGGTCACATGCCCAGGAGGCCGGCCCTGCCTGGGCCCCAACTATCAGGTTCAAGATGGCGCCTGGGAACCTGCACGTTTCAGATTCCAGGGGGATTCTGAC